CTGGGCATGGTGGCTCATGCCTGTAATCAAGCACTTTTGAGGCCAAGGCGGGCGGATCACCTGAGGTCAGGAGATCAAGACCAGCCTGACCAACACAGTAAAACCCTGTCTTTATTAAAAAAAAAAAAAAAAAAAAAAAAAAAAAAAGGAATTTAAACAAACTAGGTAGCAGGAAACAAAATCAATCAACCTTGCCCTGAAGCCAATTTGTATGAACAACAAATTGATAATGCTGTATAAATTGGGTAACCGTGTCTCCAGTGTCCCAGTGTAACAGCTCCAAACCAAGAAAAAGAGGGTAACAAAATGTACAAGCTGCATAGGCTAAGGTTGTAGATCAAAACTCTAGCCAGATTTAAGGCTTTGGGCTGTTTGTATTTTCACCCAGATTCTTAGCGAACAACATGTTTTTAGTGGCTCATGGCCAAATTAGTACATTCTTTTTTATGTGTTATTTTTATTTTGGGGTTTTTGCATATATAATAAGTAGAACATACTGACAACCTTGAAATTGTTTGTCCTCTATTCCTTTTTGATCCTCAGCCCTTTTCAGGGCCAACTGCCAGCACAGAGGGTATGCACGTTCCCAGTACATATTTTGGTATTTTAGTAGGTGGATTCTTTCTTGACACCTATTTTTCACATACCCATATTTAATCCATTGGTATATCCTGTTGGCTCTAGCTAAAATATATTCAGATCAGCTCTTACATCAGCTCATGTTACTACTCTTACGATCACAGGACCTTTCCCTCTTTTGTATTATTATTATTCCAAGAGATAATTACTTTTCAACAGAAGAAATGTGAACTTAGAGATTAACATTTCCAAATTCCAAAAGAAAGTGACATTAACGGACCAGGATCACACTGCCTTGCACACTTTGCTTCTCTATCAGGCATTATATAGAAGCAGTGCTTTCTGCTCCATGCCTCTCAATTTTTACCACGGAGAAGTCTGCCTGAGGAAAAAGGAAATCTCTCCTGTGGATGATAAACATTGCATTTCCATGGCCTTGAAAGACCACTATTTCCCATTATAATAAGCAGCTTACGCTGGAATGAGAAGCTGATTGGTAGCACGGCTGTCACATGATGCTTATCATCAGGATGCGGACATCGTGGTCATCAAGCACTTTTTTTACATCTCACTCCAAATAGGGTTGGCTCCATTTTTCTTTCCTCCCTGTATTTTAACCATTCCATCTATACCCACATATCCTTATTAAAGCTTTCACTCAGTGAAACACACTAAGTCCTTCAGGGATTCTCTCCTTTTTCTTTGTCTCATGTTTGTCAGTTTCTTGCAGAATGAAGTTTGGAACGTTCCTAGATATGTATTATAAATAAAGTTGACAAAGCACCTTTACTTTCTCTGTTGTGTGTGTATTATGGTGTGTGTGTTTTCCCAAAAAGCTTCAGATTAGAAGAGCGCCACTGAATGTCTCCAGTCTTAATAGTGCTTTCTTTCTGCCATTGGATGAGATGGGTTTTTACCCTTATGATTATTATTTTGTAAAGTAGGTAATCTTCCTTTAGAAGAAAAGAACAAAAAAAAAGACAAATCAAATCAAACATAAACCTCTGGGCTCTATTACAGCATTAGGCTTTATGTCCCAGAGCAGGTTGGAGCATACCTTTGATATATGAAAATATTTCATTCCTGGGTACATTTCATTTACTGAAATGGTGTTTGAGAGCAACTTTATTAAAGATGCAAGACACTGGTACAATGCCGCTTTATTTTGTGTCACTGCTTTCATATAAAATCCTTTCTCCAAATACGTTGGAGAATTAAATAATACAAGACAGGAGAGAGTGTTCTGTATAAATTATACAACATTATGGCATAAAGAATAATTTAAAGAATCACTTAGAGAGCCAACAGCTAAGACTTAGAAAAATGGAAAGATATAGGAGTGTTTTTAGATTTTTTTTTTCTCTCCAAAGGTTATGGAGAGTGTTTGAAGTAGTGAAGAAAAATAGGATTCCTGGTGGAACATGGGGTCAACATTTTATTTCCAAGAAATGCAACCTTCTCATGATTTTCCTTCCACAGCGTCACTTTATAAGTTGTCCCTAGTGCTTTTATTTGTGAAGCACATATGAGTAATGTTCATAGATACTAGTTTCCTTTTATAATTTAAATTACTTGAAAATCCTAAAGTTAGGGTTATCATCCACATACAAAAGTAAAAATCACAGAGGTAAAATGACCTGTATATGTGATCAGACAACTCTCATACAGCAAATCCTTAAGGCAAATCCAGGTTTAACAGAAATCAAAGCCTGGTGCTTGTTACCACTCCAGTGAATTTAGCAAGAACTGGAATTAATGAGCCATATCTCTCACCGAATATATTCCTATAATTTTTCAACAATGCTATGCAGTCAAGCACTCTCTATCTTTGTTCTAACACGACTCAAGGGCCTTAATTCATGAAAACGAAAGTAGCTAGAATTGTATGAAACTCGAGTAGAAGGCCTATAAAGAATTTTCATTGTCCTAAAGCACATTCTATTTCTATGCTCTTACATTAGCAATCAAGGAGCATTGGGCAATACACTTCTTCACCAGATATACTGAGGTGACATCATCTTTCATCTCAGGACCTGGAATAAACCTAAATGAGTTGGGTGACAGACACTGTACTCATTTTCCTCTTCTTCCTTGCTGGTAAGAACCCCAATTTTGTTCTGGAAAAGAATATGCTCACATCCAAATGAAGGATTACTCTATGATGATCAGAAGGATTCTGGTTTGCAGTTTCCCAGCCTCTCCTGCCCCAGGGAGCAAGCATAAGTCACAGTCTTGCCCAATGAGACCAAACTGAACTCTGTGAGCACTGCCCTCCTTTATGTTTTCATTAGTCCTGCTCTAAACATGGCTGTGATGAGTAGAGCTGCAACATTCATTTAGCAACCACATTCCTGCAAGCAGGAGAATGAAGGTCATATTCTAGAGTGAAAATAAAGAAAGGACCTGAACTTCAAAGACATCGTCAACAGCTGCTAACCTCTAAATATCTGATAAGTGAGAAAAGCAATTCTTGTTTAAGGCACTGCTTGGTTTTTAATGTTATTTACAATTGAATTCAATCTTAATGGATAATTATGAAGAATTCCAGTAGAAACACATCAATACGAGAAAGGGGTTAGGGTCGAATTGTAGAGAGATAAATGCAAGGCTAAAGAGCAAGAGAAGAATTCCTTCTGTGATCATACTTTTGGACAAAGTTGCACTTCTCTGTGACATCTAAACTGTGGATGTCACTACCAAGGCCGTGTATGGTTTTTAATGTCAGCTAATGAAGCAGCCATAACTGTCACTTATCTAGCACACATAATTGCTGCTTTATCCCTTTGTTCATATGTGATTGGGCACATGTGTTGGTGTGCATTTTTACACAAAGCCTTATAAAGGCCAAGACCTGGGCTACAAGTAAGACATATGGGTTCTATCCCTGGCTATTCCACTTACTAGATGAATATATTTGGTTAGATTGTGATGCAATAAATCAATAAGTATTAGAAATGAAATGAAATAAACAATTTCCAAGTCTTAGTAGCTTAAAAGAGTAAAGAGTATTATTTGCTCACAGTACTTGCCCATTATGAGTCAGCTAGGAGGCTTTGCTCTAACTTGTCCTTATTCAGTGACTGAGGCAGAGGGATGTTCCATCTCCCTGCTTCTATATTTTCTCTGATAGAAAAATGGGCATGAAAACTTACACATGACTTTTAATGCTTCTAAATGAAAGTAACCCATATTACTTTTCCTAAATTTTCATTGGACAAAACAAGTCATATGACCACACCTATAGTGTGGTCCTGAAATCAGGAAAATACTACTACTGTAGTCCTGAAAGCAAGAAAAGAATAACTAACACTAACATGAAACTTCAAGGGAGAACAGAAAATGCTTGGGAAAATGCACACAGTGACTCTAAGTGTGTTATTTCCCTTTTTGCACACTTGTTTTCTTCATCTCTAGCAGAAAAGAAAAGAATAAATTCTTCCTTGACTACTGTAAACACACATGATCCTGAAAATGGCTTAGTTTGACTCTTCACCTTTGGCGCACTAACTGCTGAAGCTAAAATAAAGCAGCTACTTGCTATTAGAAAGACAAAGCCCGAGAAACCGTCTTCACTTACAGCTCTCAGCAATTTAAAAGACAGCAGACAGCTAGTAAAAGAACATGAAGTATGGATATCTGTATCTTCTATGTTGCATCAAATCAGTGAAATATTTTTGCTTAAACCCGGTACCTCTGGCTTTCTATTAAATGAAAGCAGCAGAACAACTAATATTTTAAACACTCAGGACATCCTCTGCAAAGTGTACTCTTCAAATATGCTGGGTACACAGCATGGGGTAACCCATGGGAGCAAAGAAAAGTGGATTGGGTTCTAAATTAGGTATGAGGACCTGATATGTCCTGAAGGCAAAGAGTTTGTGAAGGCTTTTCCTAAAAGCCCAGTAGGAATTCTGTTTCCTTCCTGTTGCCTAAACCTCTACAATTTAGTAAGGAAAGAGAGCCTATGTCTAATGTTGATATGATACGCTACCCTTAACTATGGAATCAAGAAATGACCTCTAGCTTTTTGACACTTTTGAGCTATTCTTAAAAAAAAAAAAAAACAAAACAAAAACCCGAAAAACAAAAAAAAGCTTCTGTGAACTTCCCAAGCAAAATCTCATTGCTCTTCCAACACAAAAGCGATTTGCCAAAATGTGCAATGTGCTTATGAGAGACTCTGTTGTTAGTTTCATATTGAGGAGCTGTGCTTTCAGACCAGCTTCTTTTTTTTTTTTTTTTAATTTTTTATTGGATTTTAGGTTTTGGGGTACATGAGCAGAGCATGCAAGACAGTTGCGTAGATACACACATGGCAGTGTGCTTTGCTTTTCTTCTCCCCTTCACCCACATTTGGCATTTCTTCCCAGGCTATCCCTCCCCACCTCCCCCTCCCACTGGCCCTCCCCTTTTCCCCCCAATAGACCCCTGTGTTTAGTACTCCCCTTTCTGTGTCCATGTGTTCTCATTTTTCATCACCCGCCTATGAGTGAGAATATGCGGTGTTTCATTTTCTGTTCTTGTGTCAGTTTGCTGAGGATGATGTTCTCCAGATTCATCCATGTCCCTACAAACGACACAAACTCATCATTTCTGATTGCTTCTTAACTGCCAAAACGGAAGCAAGTGTTCTGAAGCAGCAGTTTCAACTGGACCAAACTTAGTTACTAACAGGACCTGATATTTTATATATTTTGCCTCAGGGAAAATGAAATTAACATCCACATGTTTACAGGGCATGAGATAACAACCTGGACTTAACAGTGACGTCTTTAGGTTGGAATTATTTACTTGTTTTTTGTTTTCTTAATCTGAGAAGTTAAGCAGAGAAGCCCAGAGTTATCGCACCTCTACACTTTCACGTAACAGCTCATCCTTGCCTTTTCTCCTCAGTTAAGCAAAAGAGATGCTTCCAAATGTGAGTGACAAAGCTGCCAAAATGGTGATGAATATTGCTTTCAAAGCTGATAAAACAATCTCTCGATATCATCATCCAACAAATCACAAATACCTTCAATGCAATTTGTATTATGTAGGGTTTTATTTGTTTCAATTTACAATGAATTGAGTTTTTCAGAGGGAGAATGAAAGGAAGAATTGGTTTATTATGAAAGAACCATGCTGGGGAAAAAAAAAAGAGAGATTCACCCAATCTTTGGTCTTTGTATGCTCACTGGAGAATGACAGTTTGTTCTTTATTTAGTATTTAGCAGAACAGGGTTATAGATCGGGGGTCCCTGATCTGCAGCCTGTTAGGAAGTGGGCTGCAGCTGGTGAGTGAGCAAAGCTTCATTTGTATTTACAACCACTCTCCATTGCTTGCATTACTGCCTAAGCACAGCCTCCTGTCAGATCAGCGGTGACATTAGATTCTCATAAGGGTATGAACCCAGTTGTGAACTGCACATGTGAGGAATGTGCACAAAGTCTCAGAAGGAGCTAGGCTGTGAGTTTCTTATGAGAATCTAATACCTGGTGATCTGTCACTGTCTCCCATCACCCACAGATGGGACCAACTAGTTGCAGGAAAGCCAGCTCACGGCTCCCACTGATTCTACATTATGGTGAGTTGTATAATTATTTAATTATATATTACAATGTAATAATAATAGAAATACAGTGCATAATAAATGTAATGTACTTGAATCATCCTGAAACCATCCCCTATGACCTGCCCTTCTGGTTCTTGAAAAACTTGTCTTCCATGAAACTGGTCCTTGATGCCAAAAAGGCTGGGGACTGCTGTTACACATTAAAAATGGAATAGATTAACTCTTGATGGGTGAGACCCCATGAGAGCAATGTTGATTAAGAATGGCGTAAGGTACAACCTAATGTCATTCTCAACTTATCTCAGTTAATTGTTGTTGTCCTAAGGTTAACCAACAACTTACCTTTCACTCTGTGTTCCAACCTGTTGGATAGCTCTCCGTAGAGTCCACCAGGTCCTCATAATTTAGTATTCTTACTTAAGTTCCATCTAAAGTCCCTCTCTGTCCCCTGTGATGCACCCTTCCAGGGTGATATCATGCTCCCTTCTACTTTGAGACCCCTGAGGGACATACAAATAAATAACTCAAGATTAGCATGTTAAAAACAAAATGTAGTGAATTTTGTATATTTTATTTATTGTTTCCTAAATTGTTGCCATTCAAAGCGCAAGCTAGAAACCCACATGAATACCCTTGATTGAATATAGGTAAAGAGTAGATTCACTCTCCAAATCTCTAAAAGCTTTCATAATAAAAATCTTTTGTTTCTCTCTCCACCCTACTCTCTAGCAATACCTTGCCTTTATTTAAACTCCATGCTTTATTACCTGGATTACTAAAATAAGTGTCCAATTGTTCTTTCCTCCATTCATAACTGTAGAGTATAGATAATAGCCATATTCCATACCACAGCATATGTGAACACTTGGCAACACTAATACGTTTCTATCACCGTCCTACATAAAAGCATTAATTGTCTTTCCAATGCTGAAGTTTAAATTCATTAGCTTATCATTTAAAAAGGATAGTATAGAAAATAAAAATATGATTCCTGTTTTCATAGCTAATGTTTAGTGGGGTGTGTGAGGGATAGCAGGCAAGTAATACAAAAGTTACATTTCAGTGTGAGGATGTATGCTAAAAAAGACCTGGATTTGTGCTATGGGAGCACAGCAAAGAAACTGCTAAATCAGGCTGGAGGTTAGGAGGTGTAATGTGGAGGAGGTAATGCTTTAGCTGAGTTTCATAAAATGAGTAGGGACTACTGGCGTAGAGAATAGGCAACAGGCATACAGTACTTGGTATATGGTAGGTGCTTGCTAAAATAAATACATGTAGGCTAAAGTGTGTATGTACACATGCATGCATAATTTTACAGTATATCATGGATATTTATCTGGACTGAACAGGTCATCCACCAAACACTTATGAGATGTGACTACTCCAGATCTCAGCTGTAAAAGGTGGAAGCTAGATTCAATAATCTATATTATTAAAATGTTTGAATCTCAGAAGAGTAAATATTAACACAAGTAGCAGACATTTATATTCAGGTAAAGACGGACAATCCAAACATGGATAATTAAAACAACCCACAAAATTCTTATTAAGTTATTGGGGCTTTCCTCTTAAGCAATAGAGGTCTGGAATCACAGTTCCAAACTATGTATCAACTCCTTGCCATTTTGCAGGAGGCAGTTTCAGAGTTCTCCAGCATGTGTCTGTCTCATTATCTATCAAGCACAGACACAGTATGACAACCTCCTCTTCCAATGTCTTAGAATATTGCATTGCTCTCCTGGGAGATGTGTATTATCCATAGCATGCTGAATATTTGACTTCTCAACTAGAATCTTCAGCATTTATGGGCAGATGCTGAAGAACTTACGAAGTCACACATTTACAAGAATTTCCTAAAGTTGATTTTGATATGAAATATAAAGTATAGTCTCCGGATAATGTTTCCTTCATTATCCACGTCTGCCACCTGTGGTATGTATATGAGGTAGGTTTGTTGCTGCTTTTGTTTTGCTTCGTTTTTAGTAGAGGACTGAAATCAGAAGAAAATGTAAAATGCTGGACAAAAATAGAGGTCTTGTGAGTTTAAGAAATCTTGGACAAAAGTGAACCCCTGTGAAACTATTTTATGCCCCTTATCTAGATCGTTGGCTGCACAGGTGAAAATAAAATTTCCCAAGTGGCTGATTAGACTGTATAAAACACTCTAGGACTCCAATGGGCCAGACGATTCAAAAGAGGGTCAATAATATAAGATTCAGTTTGATCTGTTAAAAGAAGGTTGTTTTGCTTCTTTATTAACATATCTACTTCCATTTAGGACTCTTTATAACTAACTAGCAAGAGATAGTGCCCTCAGCTCTGGTCTTCTCTGATACAGCTGAATTCCTCCATGTTCCCCCAAATTGGTTATTGTCTATCAAATTCCAGTTACCTTTTGGGAATTATCACACCACTTATAAAGTATGCTCCATACTGAAGCAAAATCTAGACAGGACACTTAACCTGCCTGTTTCTGCTTCTCTTCTGCCTAGTATTTTTTTTTTTTTTTGAGACGGAGTTCCGCCCTTGTTACCCAGGCTGGAGTGCAATGGTGCGATCTCGGCTCCCGGCAACCTCCGCCTCCTGGGTTCAGGCAATTCTCCTGCCTCAGCCTCCTGAGTAGCTGGGACTACAGGCGCGCACCACCATGCCCAGCTAATTTTTTGTATTTTTTGTATTTTTAGTAGAGACGGGGTTTCACCATGTTGACCAGGATGGTCTCGATCTCTTGACCTCGTGATCCACCCACCTCGGCCTCCCATAGTGCTGGGATTATAGGCGTGAGCCACTGCGCCCGGTCAGTGTCTTGGTATCTTAATTTACTTGTCAATAGGAGTTATACCCAGAACAAAACTCCCTCTCTAGAGAACAATAAAGTTTGACTAAGTAATATTTGTAAAGGGCATCTAGGATTCAAAAAAAACTTTATTATTAAATATTTTGATTAAGAAAAACAAACAGAGAGAAAATTCATGCTATGTCTGTTCAGTATTACAAACAATGACAGCCATAAATAAATGTTGAGTCATATTTTATAGTCATATATCTCCTTCTTCCCAAAGGAAAACAAAGGGCTTGACAAGTATATCAAAATGAAACACTGAGTATAGGAAGGGGGAGAGAGGGAAGAACACCAGTGATATTGACTGGCTTTGTCATTTTTGTTGTCTTATTACCCAGAAATGTGGCATTTCTCATTAAAATGCCATATTTCATGGTTGGAACATAATGTGAACTGAGTCCTTCCAGTACGTTTTTTTATATAAAGGCATGAGAATTTAAGACTTAATGCCAGTTTGCTTTTATTTTTCATTCAAGATATATTCTTTAATTTTAATTTTTTATTATACTTAAAGTTATGGGATATATGTGCAAAATGTGCAGGTTTGTACATTGGTATACATGCGCCATAGTTGGGTTTGCTGCATCCATCAACCCATCATCTACATTAGATATTTCTCCTAATACTATCCCTCCCCTATCTTCCCACCCCACAACAGGCCCTGGTGTGTGATGTTCCCCTCCCTGTGTCCATATGTTCTCATTGTTCAACTCCCACTTATGAATGAGAACATGTGGTGTTTGGTTTTCTGTTCCTGTGTTAGTTTGCTGAGAATGATGGTTTTGAGCTTCATCCATGTCCCTGCAAAGGACATGATATCATCCTTTTCATGGCTGCATAGTATTCCACAGTGCATATATGCCACATTTTCTTTATCCAGTTGATCAATAGTGTTCTTTGCTATTGTGAACAGTGCTGCAATAAACATACATGTGCATACATCTTTATAGTAGAATGATTTATAATTCTTTGGGTGTATACTCAATAATGGGATTGCTGGGTCAAAACGTATTTCTGGTTCTAGATCCTCGAGGAACTGACACACTGTCTACCACAATGGTTGAACAAATTTACATTCCCACCAACAGTGTAAAAAGCATTCCTATTTCTCCACATCCTCTCCAGTGTCTGTTGTTTACTGACTTTTTAATGATCACCATTCTAACTGGCATGAGATGGCATCTCAATGCAGTTTTGATTTGCATTTCTCTAATGACCAGTGATGATGAGCTTTTTTTAAATGTTTGTTGGCTGCATAAATGTCTTTTTTTGAAAAGGTTGTGTGCCTTTGCTTACTCTTTGATGGGGTCGTTTATTCTTGTAAATTTGTTTAAGTTCTTTGTAGATTCTGGATATTAGTTCTTTGTCAGATGGGTAGATTGCAAAATTTTTTCTCCCATTCTGTAGGTTGCTTGTTCATTCTGATGACATTTTCTTTTGCTGTTCAGAAGCTCTTTAGTTTAATTAGATCTCATTTGTTAATTTTGGCTTTTGTTGCCATTGCTTTTGATGTTTTAGTCATGA